GCACAGCCCACAGTCCACTCTTCCTGTCTGAGAACTAACCCCTCCCACAGAGAGAGAGGACCACAGCAACCACAGCTTATCCGTAAGACCCCATCTCTCCAGCTAAACTGACTGGACCGGGGATCCACAACTGACCCAAGCTGGGCCGGTAAGATGCTCCCTCTTTTTTGAGTTTTACTGAAATGTAATTTATGTACCATACAACTCACGGTTTTAAATTGTGCAATTCAATGGCTTTTAGTGTATTCACGAAGTTGGCGGTGCTGTCACCACTATCTAGGCCCGAGGCACTTATACCACCCCACAAAGAAGCCTGTATCCTTTAGCCCTCACTCCCCTTAGTCCCCGCAACAACCTCCCCAGCCCTAGGACACTATGAATCTATTTTCTGTCTCTACAGATTTGCTTATTCCAGACGTTTCATATAAACGGAATCACGCGTTATGTGGTGTTTTGTGACTTTCGCTTAGCATGTTTTCAACCCTCATCTATGTTGTAACATGTATTAGTACTTGATTTCTTTCGATGGCCAAATAACATGCCATTGTACCAATATGTCACATTTTGTTTACCCGTCCATCTGCTGATGAACGTCTGGGTTGTTTTCACTTTTTTTTATATTTTTTAAAGACTTTATTTCTTTGACAGAGAGAGAGAGCACAAGTAGGCAGAGAGGCAGGCAGAGAGAAGGGAAAGCAGGCTCCCCGCTGAACAGAGAGCCTAATGCGGGGCTCGATCCCAGGACCCTGAGATCATGACCTGAGCCGAAGGCAGAGGCTTAACCCACTGAGCCACCCAGGTGCCCCTGTTTTCACTTTTTTTGAAGATTTTATTTATTTATACTACTCAGCCATCAAAAACAAAAACAGAAACGAAATCTTGCATTTGCAATGATGTGGATGAAACTAGAGGGTATTATGCTAAGAAAAACAAGTCAGTCGGAGAAAGACAATTATCATATGATCTCTCTGATATGAAGAATTTGAGAGACAGGGCAGAGGGGTCGTGGAGGGCGGGGAGGGAGAAATGAAACAAGATGGGACCTGGGAGGGAGACAAACCATTAGAGACTCTTAATCTCAGGAAACAAACTGAGGGTTGCTGGAGTGGAGGGGGATGGGAGGGATGGGGTGGCTGGGTGATGGACACCGGGGAGGGTATGTGTTGTGATTGCTGTGGATTGTGTTAAGACTGATGATTCAGGGACGCCTGGGTGGCTCAGTTGGTTGGACGACTGCCTTCAGCTCAGGTCATGATCCCGGGATCCCGGGATCGAGTCCTACATCAGGCTCCCAGCTCCATGGGGAGTCTGCTTCTCCCTCTGACCTTCTCCTCGCTCATGCTCTCTCTCACTGTCTCGCTCTCAAATAAATAAATAAAATCTTAAAAAAAAAAAAAAAAGACTGATGATTCACAGACCTGTACCCCTGAAACAAATAATACGTTATATGTTAATTTAAAAAAAAAAAAAACTGGCTCAGTTAGGAGAGTATATATTTGCAGCTACAGTAAAGTTATACAAAACAAAAATAAACATGGAAAAAGTAAAAAAAAGATTTTATTTATTTATTTAAGAGAGAGAAAGAACAAGCAGTGGGGAGGGGCAGAGGGAGGGGGGAGAGGGGGAGAGAGAGAGAGAGAGAAGCAGATCCCCTGCTGAGCAGGAAGCCCAATGTGGAGCTCAACCCCAGGATCAGGAGATCATGACTTGAGTCCAAGGCAGGCACTTAACCAACTGAGTCACCCAGGCACCCTGGGTTGTTTCCACTTTGAGTTATTATTAAGGATGCTATGAACAGGGAGGGGCACCTGGGTGGCTCAGTTGATTAAGTGTCTGCCTTCAGTTCAAGTCATAATCCCAGGGTCCTGGAATCAAGCCCCACATCAGGCTCCCTGCTCAGCCAGGAGTCTGCTTGTCCCTCTCCCTCTGCTCTCTGTTTCTCTCTCAGAAATGCTATGAATGTGTTACAAGTTTCTATATGAACATATATTTTCATTTCTCTGGGATACATACTTAAGAAAAGAATTGCTGGTCATTTGGAAACTCTACCTTTAAACTTTTGAGAAACTGCCAGACTATTTTCCAAAGTGGCTGCACCAGTCTGCGTTCCCAGTAGTGGCGTATGAGAGTTCCATTCCCTCCTCACCCTCACCAATGTTTGCCATTATCTTCTTTTTGATTATAGGCATTCTAGTGGGTGTGAAAGAGTAGCTCCCTGTGGCTTTGACGTACATCTCCCTTATGGCTAATGACGCTGAATATCTTTTCTCGTACTTACTGTCCATTTATATACTTTCCTTGGAGAAGCAGGGAGCCCGATGCAGGACTCGATCCCAGGACCCTGGGATCATGACATGAGCCGAAGGCAGACGCTTAACTGACAGCCACCCAAGGCATCCTTCTCTGGCCATTTTTGTAAAATGTGTTGTCTTTGTATTATTTTACTGAGTTGAAATGGTTCTTTATATATCTTGGGTATGAGTCTCTTACCAGATATGTGATTTGCAGATATTTTCTCCCACTCTGTGGTTTGTCTTTTCACTTTCCTGATAGTGTCCTTTGTAACACCAAGTTTTTAATTCTGAGGAAGTTCAATTTACCAATGTGTTGTTGGTGCTGTTACTTATGCTTTTGGTATCATATCTAAGAAACCACTGCCTTATTCGAAGTCATGAAGATTTCCATCTATGATTTCTTCTAAGAGTTTCATAGTTTTAGTTTTTACATTTAGGTCTTTGATCCATTTTAAGTTAATTTTGGTATACGGTGTGAGAGAAGGGCTCAATTTCATTCTTTTGTATGTGAATATGGTTGTCCCAGCACCATTTGCTAAAAAGCTATTTTGCTTCATTGAATCGTCATGACACACTTGTTGAAAATCAACTGACCACAGATGTGAAGGTTTATTTCCAGATGCTATGTTCTACTACGTTGATCTAGATGGCTATCCTCACACCAGTACCAAATTGTCTTGATTGCTGTTAGACTTATAGTAAGTTTCAAAATGAGGAAGTAGAGTCCTCGAACTTTGTTCTTCCTTTTCAAATTACCCTTAAATTTCCCTATGAATTTTAAGATCAGTTTAGCAGTTATTGCAAAGAAGCCAGCTGGGATTTTGATGAGGAGGGTTTCAAGTTCCTGTTCAACCCCTCCTGAACTCTAGCTCCACCTCCTCCCCTGGGTTCTCTGAGACACCCTGGGATCTTTTCTGTAACTTCTGCTTAACCGGGTTACCCTGAGTTTTTCTTTCTTATAATCAGAAGACTCTTAACCAGGCACAAGTAAGAACACAGTCCTACATGCTGTCCCAAACAATCATCTCAACACCACCTCCCCAGGACTAAAGCACACAAACTGTCCCCCAGATACCCACCAGGGTCCCAATCTCAACCACTGGCCGGTGTCCCCAGCCACCTTGTTACCAGTTCCCTTCCAGGTTACATACATCATTTTTACCAGTTAAATAGGCCCTCAATAAGCACTTGTGAAATTGAACTAGGAACCTAAAACAGCACCAAAAGAAACACTCCTACCACTCTGTGTAGTAATCCTGCTTCGTGCCTACATCCCATTCAATCTATAGATAAGAAGTTCTAGGAAATCAGACACCATTGTGCCCCCTCAACAAGGGATACAAACCCTGAAGTCTGGAGAAGTTAAATGTCTTGCCCAGGAATGACTTGCCCTGAACACTGACCTGCACTGTGGCACACACACCCCATGCCAACCAGCACAGGCACAGGCATACCCATAGTCCCACCCCATCTTCAAGAGTCGCCATAGAAGCTACCTCCTCCTGGCAGTCTTCCAAGACTGCTCCAGCTGCACCTGTGTCACCAACTCTACAAAGAGACAGAAAGCTCTCAGAAAGCAGGGACTGTTTGCATGCACTCCTGCCCTGCTAACCGTTCCACCATCACCCTTCTGAGCAAAACAGTCCAAAGTGGGAAGCCTCATGCCCTGTATTCCAACCCTCAAGAGCAACTCTGCCTTGCCCGGGGACCTGTGCCCAGCCAATGCTAGCAACCAGATGGCACGTAGAGGGCAGCTGGCCCAGAAAACCTTTCAGCTGAGATGGAGGGTTACAAGCAGGAAAAGCTGCCTCTGAAGGAGAACACTCATTGGAGGAATTCTTCATGCACAAGCTAACTCACATATGGCAGGATAATATTTTGGGCTAGCAACCAATGCTATATTTTCCCTCCTAGAATTCCCCTCCTTTTCAATTCACTCAACTAGAGCAGATGGTTGGTCACTCACTACCCAGGGAAGGGATGGAGATGGAAGCTGATTTTGTTAAAGTCTGAAGGGGAAAGGGGTCAGGGTGCAAACAAAATGGTTTGCCCAGAAACACCTGGAAAAGGAGCAAAGACGGTGATGGAAGAGGAGAGAGGAGTATCTGCTCAGGGCTTCCCAGACAGATGAGCAGACATATGGCCAAGCACGAGAGACAACTTCCAGACCCCAGATCTATTGTTGAAGCCTCAGAGACACCCAGGGCCGGGCTCACAGGATGACATCTGTATAGTAACAGATGAGTCAATGACCAACTGACCACACGCACATGCACGAGCACATGCACATGCACACACACTGGGCTGTTCCATGAAGTTCTAGAACTCTGTGGCCCAATTTTCCAGGTAGGTAGGAATGTCAGAAAGCCCGATGGAACTGGGGCTTCACATAATAATCAAGACAATAGGAAATATAATTATCTTTCTTACGCCCCCAAGTTGTGGCCTAGAAGGCACTGCTATACACATTACCATCAATCTGGCCCCTGCTCTTTCCAGTCCAGCATCTCCCTTCTTCAGATGCCCCAGGAATCAAGTGCCTGGTCCATCCTTTCCAGCCCAAAACCCCTAAGACTGAGATGGAGACTCTGACAAACACAACAGCCCCATTCATGTCTCCCACAACTCAGGGGGAAATGAGGTCCCCAGAGGACCTCTGGCCTACCATCATCTCCGATCACTACATAACAGGAAGTGGCTACTTACTTGACCTTTAGGCTCGCCAGCATGGTCTTGTCGATCCTGCCAAGAGAAAAGCAGAGGCTTTGGTCAGTGCTGAGGCTGAAGGCTCCCACCCAGTACATGCAGGGGAGGTGGTCCCTGGCCAGTCCAGACCACCAAGCCAACAGGGTCCTTCAGGGGACAACCACTGCTCGACAGGGGAGCTCTCCTCCAGCCCAGGAAGGAGGGCTGGACCCACACATAACCCTGTGAGGCAGGTACTGCTATTCCTCCCATTTTAGAGATGGGGATACAGAGGCTCAGAAGGATAACATCATTGGCCCAGTCTGAATCCGGGTTCTGACTCCACACCCAGAGATCGCAAGCACTGTGTAGATGGCATTTCTCTTCATTACCCCCACTCCACAAGAGAAGACTGCAAGCCAGCTCCATCGGTCACTGGCACCTAGGCATTCAACACAATGATACTTCCTGGGCTTCTGCTCTGAAAAGATGCCAGCACCAGGGACCCCTCTCCCTGCCCTGCTCCCAGAGCTGCCAGTCCGTGCAAGGAGACAGACCCCACTCCTGAGACAGAAACCCAACAGCAGGCTCCAGGATGCATGGGCAAGTGTGAGCTGTTGGGCATGGGGCTCAGAGCAGAGAGGATCACGTTCACGGCAGACTGTCCTGGCAGCCAGCTCCTCCACACCAGCCTGCACCCACCCTTGCTGGAAGACAAGGCAGGACTGCTAAGCTTCTATTTTTACCCTCTGCATACGCCAGCCCTTATGGCTGGTAAAAGAGGCCCCCTCCTCTCTGCAGAGACAGAAAGGTGGGCAAGATTCCCACTGTCAGTGTCTCCTCTTGCTTAGGGATCACGACCACCAGTGTCACCCTCCCATTTCACCACCAGCCCATGTCATCAACACCACCTTGTTACCACCATCAGTGTCACCACACCTCCATGTCCCATCACCATCAGTGTCACCATCACCACCCCGTGTCATCACCTTCAGCATCACCACACTCCCCACCCCATGTCACCACTACTGCCATGTCAGCATGACCATCAGTGCCACATGCAGGATGCCTTCAGCCACCCTCTCCAGGCAGCTCAGCTTTGCCAGAGGCTTCCTATGAGGCAATGCTGGAACGGGAGCAGTGTTAGGGCCACACGGGGAGGACACAGAGCTGCCCCAGCAATCACAAGCCAGCACCAAGCCCTTGAGCTGCGAAGCAAGATCCTTTTGCTCTGAGTAAACTCCCAGCACCTTCTGATCTTGGTCCCCAGCAGCAAAACAAGCCACACCCCAAGGCTCCCGACCCAGGTCCCTCCCAGCTTCTTCTCCACTGTGTCCTGGGCCCCTTTCATGGAGCCTCCACAACTGGTCCCCAAGGGCCTCATGAGGCTCCATCCCTCTGGCATGCAGACATTCCTCTTATCCCATTCTGCCCACCAGATGGGGGTAGGGTGACTCCAGGGGCAGATCCCCACATTCTGCTATAAAATTTGTAGCCCAGAGCTACCTAATTGTTACCCCCAATAACAAGCCCTTACACTTTCTTTTCTGGAGGAATCTCTTTTAATTGCTACAACATCCCTCCGTTGTGGATAAGGCAGAAATCACCCACTTTCCCATGGGGAAACTGAGACCCAGAGAGGGGAAGTGTCCTGCCTGAGTTCTTCAGAGTCAAGGAGGGGGGGGCAGCACTTAGAAGCAGGACTCCTAGTGTGGCACCCTCTTAACCCAACCACCCACCACCGGGTGGCACTGTGGGTCACAGGAACCCCAGGCTCAACACCCACACCCAGTCAGCAGTCTCTCCACAGGGTCCCACGCTGGGGTGCGGCCCTGGGAGGGCGGGGCCAATGGCCTTGGCAGGACTGAGACTACAGACACAGCAGCAGCCTGTGTCACTGGGCTTCTCTTTCAGAAAGCCAGACTCCCCAGATTCTCCCTGGCGCCTTCTCTCCTCCCCACCACCCGTCCGCCCCACCCCATTCCCTCTCCTCACTGTGTCCACCCCTGATGCCAGTGGTTCTCCACCCTGGCATCCAATGGAGCTTCTAGAATACCAGTCCCCTGAGATTCTGGTCACAGTCTGGAGGGGACCACGGCTCCAGAAATCTGCCCTTTAGTCTCCAACCCTCCCAGCTGGTGTCCATCTCCAGATGATGCCTACTCTAAAGATTTTTTTTTTTAACTTGACAGACAGAGATCACAGTAGGCAGAGAGGCAGGCAGAGAGAAAGAGGGAGAAGCAGGCTCCCCGCTGAGCAGGGAGCCCGATGCGGGGCTCGATCCCAGGACCCTGAGCCGAAGGCAGAGGGTTTAACCCACTGAGCCACCCAGGTGCCCCCAGATGATGCCTACTCCAACCCACCAACCCCACCAGGAAGCCCTGCTGTCCCCTCAAACTCAATGAGGCCGATAACCAGATGCCTGTCGTGGGCAAAAAAACATGTCACATAGTCACTCCATAAGCGTGGACTGAGCACACACGATGTGCCACGCACACCTTCCTGGTCTGCTCCACACCTCCCAGAGAAGCATGGCTCTTAGACAGAAAGCCTCTCATGGCCCCGAGCCCCGCCCTATAGTGATCCCAGCCAGCCTGACTAGGAAGCAGACGAGGTGATTCGAACCCAGAGCCCACACTCAGCACAGCAACCCCTTGGCCCCAGGGGAGGGAGGGGGCTTCGGAGGGGTGCCCATGAGCAGGTCCCAGGCTGCCCTGTGCCAGCCCTAGCACCATGTCATCCTCACTCTCCCCATCTGCCAAACACGCAGCACCCGCAACTCCTTCCTGCCGGAGGACGGATGGCAAAGTGCCTTTGGAGAGAAGGGAGAGGAAAGTCAAAGTCTGCACACACACAGAAGTGTAACCAGCCAGAAGAGCTGACGGAGCCCACCTCTTCCCAGCCCTGGCGGCCCCTCCTTCTCTCCCTTGCCTCAGTGCCCCCCCCACTCAGCCCACCAGGCTCCATACCAGGGCACCCCAAGCCACCCTCCCTGCAGCAGTGGGAACCTTTCCTCTGACAACGCCCCAGGCCCAGAAGCTGAAAGGAAACCGATAATGAAAACCACGAGACCCCGCTCCCCAGCTGAGGAGAAGCTGCCAACAGCTGGTAACCAGAGACAAGTCTTTGACCTCAGTCTCCCCATTTTCTGTCCCCCTGGGGAGGGAAGAGCCTCTCCCTTGTTCTGCATGGAAGCCTAGTGGCCTCAAGGACCAGGCAAGAGGCTGGAGCACAAAGCCAGCGGCTCAGGCTCAGATGGAGCTGGGATTGGCTGCCCGTGGTGGGAGGAGGGGTATCTGGACACAGGCCTGCCCATCCCTCGCAGCTCACCCCCACAGCGGTCCAGTGGGCCACAGACACCCCCATCACAAAGTCACACACACACACACATAAACACACACACACACAGATGATGCAGATAGCACACACATACGGACAGGAGCACACAAAGCTACAGACGACCAGAGGAGCCAACACCTGCTCAGAAATGCAGAGTGCACACGTGGTCACACGCCGCACACACCTACGCAGCCAACCACACGCTTCATACACGGCCACCCAGACAGGCAGCTGCAGGCATGCCGCACACAAGCACGCACGCAACCACGATCATCACAGAGGTGCCGAAACACACACGGGAGCACACGACAAGACACATTCAACCCCACCCCTCCAGCGAGCTCATGCTGGCACCAGCTCCAACATTGTGGGTCCCCTAGATCCTGCTCCAGGGACGGCAAGGAGAAGCTTGCTGTCTGATACCCCACCATCTCCACCAGCCCCTGCATCTCAAACACCCACCTCCCCACAGGTCTCAGGCATAACCCAAGTCCCCTCACCACCCCCCAGGCGGCCGCAGCAGATGCAAGACTTCCCAGCTGGGTTTGCTCCCATCCCTGCGGCCGCCCTCCTCTGCCACCTACCATCCAAAGCCCCCAAAGGAGACGCTGCGCTTCCTGCGAAACATGGTTGTAGCCGGGGGGCCCCGGGTCCCGGCAACGTCCCCGGGGCTGTTGGCAAAAGGGCCGTGGCGCAGCCGGGTCGGTGGGGCCACAGGCTGAGAGCGGGACACCCGGTGTGGCACCTCCCCTGTCGCCTGCCCCCCAAGCCCAGCACTTCCTGTGGGTGAGGCCGCAGGGCTGGGAGGTGTGTCCTGCCCCCCAGGAGGCACCGAGACAGCCAGCAGGGGAGTTCGCAGAGGGCAGCTTCCCCACGCCCAGAGGAACCCGCAGCTCCGGAAGGGGCTCGGCGGGCAGATTGCACCACAGCCCGACTTGGCAGCTCGGTCCCACACAGCCCCAGCTTCCCAGATCCCAAAGGAGGGCGAGGCATAGGCACACACAAACGTGCCTGTGAGGGAGATAGAGAGCCTACTGGAAGGCTCGGGAGCCTTGCAGACAGGCCACTCACACCCACTCCCCTGAGCTGCCGGAGACGGGACCGCTGCCTTCCTGCTCCCGCAGGGCTCCACACACACCAGCTGAAGCAGCCCCATGCCTGCACACTCATGGGCACTCACAGGAGCACAGGGGCACACACACACGTGCATACGTATCCATGCACGGGCACAGCGGTATGCTCACGCAAGCATCCTCAGACACCCACATACACACGCACACAGGCATGACACACTCCCGTGCAAGTCCACACAGACCCCGCTCGACAGTGATACCTGCGTGTAGATCTCATGTCCGCATCTCCCCACAAGACACAGGCTCACACAGGGAGGGAGACCCACGTGCACACGCCCAGGCACACACTCAGACTGCACACACGCCCACGTACCCACGCAGAGGCACAGACCCCTTCAAGGGTCTAGACAGAGGTCAGCGGGGTCACCCTTCGTGCTGGTGATAGTGGGAGTGGGAGGGTGACCCATGTGGGCGAGTGGGTTTCTTTCCTGCTGGAACTCAGCTCTGCGTGCACCCATGCCAACCGTGCGGGGTATGCAGTAGGTTCTCACTAATGACAGCCCAAGGAAGGGTGCGGCACACCCGCTAGCACCGGCCTGAGTGGGAAGGACCACAGCCGAGCGCCAGGCCCCTGCCCTGCCCTCAAGCAGTGCAGAAAGGGAAATACAGTTGCTGTGGCCTTTTTCACTGGCCCACCCTCCCCACAGCTTCCTGTTTGAGACCCACTGCCACTCTGGGTGTCAGATGGGTGGAGCCACCCCCAGGTCACAGACAAAGGACACAGGCGTTTCTATTTTCTGGACTCCTCCACAGCAGGAAAGGCCACACAGGTGGCAAGTAGCCCCCTAGATGGGCCACAGGACCAGCTTCAGGGCCCAGCCCAGTTCCGATCCATGAGCGGTAAGTACGGGGTCCTTTCGTTGAAGGCAGCTGGCCTCCCGGCAGAAGCCTGGTGGTCCTCGGTTCCGCTGCATACTCCACCCCCGCCTTCACCAGGGAAGGAAGGACAGTGTGGCCCACCCTCTGGGGTTGCACCAGACCAATGGCTTCCCACTGGATGTCCACTCCACATCCAGACCTCTCCCCACACTGCACCCACGCCACACCCAGGAGCTGCTTGGCAGAAAGCATGGATGCTTGGGGTCCTGCCGGCCCGGCGTCCGTGTGGCCTCCCTCTGGGTAAAACAGCTCTGTGCCCCATGCACCCCCAGAAGGAGCCCTGGGCCAGCCCAGCTAACCAGGGTGCCTGCCCTGACGGCCACAGTGACACACTCAGGAGTGGGCAGGAGAACTCTGCGGACCTCACTCCCAGAACACAGCCCCCTCCTGCCAAGGCTGCTAAACCACAGGATGGATGCACAGTACATAGGAGAGTGGGGGAGAGAACAGGAGAAAGCGGGTCTTCAGGACATCAAACTCCTGGAGCAGCCAGCCTCTGGGCATGCAAGAGCCTGACATATATCCCATTATCCCTAAAGCCAACAGGAGCTGGATTCCTCTCACTCTCCACTGAGGAAGTCCCAACTAAGATCAAGAGCTCGGTGGGTGCAGGGGTGCAGGCGAGAAAAGGAGCGGGCCGCTCAGCCCACCCCTCCCCATGCCAACGCCAGTCCTAGGCCCACCACGGCTCCGGGTACAGAGAGCGCCAGGTGAGAGCTGGGGCTGGGTGCCACACGGGTGACTAATAACACAATTCCTGTTGCAAATTACTTCCTTTTTTTAATCAATTAGAGGGAGATCATAGTGAACCCATCACTGAAGCCCATCATGTGCCGTCTTTCATGTGGGAGAGAATGAAGTGGGGTCATCCCAACAAGCTGGGGCGCTTCCAACCACACGTCAGCTAGTCTCACCTGTGTACACACGTGACCCTGTTTTCATGTTATCCATCACCTGGGGGAAGAGGCGGACTAGAGATGCTCTCACGCAAGCCCTCCTAGTAGACAGAGACACCTGGGCAAACACTGGGTGAGAGACCACAGCCCAGGATTGCTGCAGGCCCAGGCCCAAGCATCCGGAGGTCAGCAGTGCGGCCCAGGGACCCGACAGGAAACAGCATTTCAAGGCCCCAGCTGCTGCCACCTGGAGGCTGGATTCTCCTACTTGGGGTTCTGGTCTCTTACATGGTAACCACAAAAGACAGGGCGCTTTGTGACTCAGACCCCAGGCCCAGGACCAGCAATGGCCTGGCGGCATCAGCAGGAAGGAGCACAGAACTCACAGTGTCCTGGATGTCCTCAAAGCCACTCAGATCCGGGAATCTTGGAGAGTCCAGACAGACCCATGCCTTTCTGACTCCTCAGAGTGAGGGCCCGGAGACAGAGAAGGGAGGTTCCCAGATGGCTTATATTTTACTCTCTGAGCTCTAGAGGGAGCTGAGAGCCAATCTAGAGCATCTCCCATTTTCCCTTCCTCAGCTCCAGTCTCGCCGAACCTTATAGCCGTGTGACCTTCAGCAAGCCACCTAACCCGGGAGGCCTCAGTTTCCCCCTCTGTATTGTGGAGGCTGCCACCACGGCTTACAGGATTAAGTGCAGGGCTCCCACACCATTACGGGAGCTGTTATAACTAGAATCTATTACAATCCCGCCCCCTCCCCTGGTCCTGCTCAGCCTCCTGTCGCCCCTGCTCTGACCCCTCAATTCCTGTTCTGTAGGAGGGTGGGTGGCGAGGGGTCCATGCACTCTCTGGGAAAGACCATGAGTCAGAGAAAAGAGAAGCATGCTGTGAGCCAGGCCCAGCCCTCCTACCCCCACCACGCACAGCCCAGCTTCCTCCCAGACCTCCACTGACTCAGACGGCCAAGCCATCAGAATGGAGACAAGGACAAGCCACGGGGATGGCAGAGCCAAGAGCAGCGCCTGTATCTGGGAGCTTCCTATGGGCGGTGCCAACCTAACCGCTTAGCTCCTCTTGGTCTCACAGCCACCTCTGAGATAACACCACTGTTACCCCATTTTACAGACGAGGACACTGACGCACAGAAATATCAAGGAACTTGACAAAATTTGCCCAGCACAATGGTAGCCAAGTTAGGTAGGATGCTGGAGACTGAGTTATCAGTCATTGTCCTATATGACGCTCTGCACTGGTGCCGATGACCAAATCAACCTACACAAGGGCCCAATTCATGCAGCACCCATTTTACAGGCAGGAAAACTAAGGACCTGGAAGCAGAGCACAGCTCAACAGCTACAAGGACGAAGTCAGAAAGAGCAAGTCCTCGCATCCTTCTAATACCAGGCGAGACGGGCTGCTTCCCTCCTGAGCTTGCTCCTTGCCCCATCCACAGAGCCAGCTTAGGGTCACCAAATCACAAGGCCCTGATTTCTGTGCTGGAGGCCTGTGGGTGTTCCTGGTCCAGGTGACAGACAAGTTCCAGCCAGAGCCTTAAGCCCAGGACAGAGCTCCGGGGGACCCACTCAGCTATCCGGGCTTTAGAGGGATGTGGAGCTGAGAATGCCAGCTGGGATCAGAGGAGGAAGCAGTCCGAGTCCCTGCCAATAGCCCCTGAGCCAGGTCTACAGGCCCTTGGGGGCAGGAGGGAAGGGAGTGACCATGGGGCTTCCTCTGCTTGGACAGCTCTGTCCTCACAGCCACTAGTGGGAGCTAAAAGAGGAGACAAGCTCCTTTTCCAGGCATGGGGATGAGCAGTTATGGGAGGCTCAGAAAACAGAGGCCCCTGGAGAAGCAGGCACTATGTCATTAGACCTAGATCCTCCCCTGTCCACATGGTGTGACCTGGCACCAGCAGTGACCTGCGGTGGCTCAGCTTTCCTCCCATCCTGACCACTGAACCACCCAGAGCAGGCCACATACTCCTCAGGGGCTTCCGCTGACCTTTCCTCAAAGGGGAGGCTAGATTCACCCCTGCTTCCTTCATAAGCCAACTGAGGACAAAGGATAGTGGCAGAGAAGGACACTGATCTCCAGGAAAACAGGGTGGAATGGCATTCAGACCCAGCAAACCCGAATCGGTGAGAAATCCACACTTTGGGATGGTGACAAATGCACGTCTAAGATCTGCACTGTGATTTAGGCTGCACTGATCACTTCCCCACACGCGCTATCTCAGGGGCCAGACTGAATTTCTCATTGCACAAGTTCTGCAAAGCAAGACGGTGATGAAAATTTGCAAAAGCAATGCTAGTGAAAACCGGACTCCTGACCCCTGACCGCACGGTTTATTCTGACCTGCTCAGTACTGCCTGCCAAGAGAACTGCTCACAATACATGGCTGTGGACTGAACCACCATCAAATGGACCACAACTTAAAACTGTTTAAACAGGACACCTAGTGGGCTCAGTCCACTAGGCATCTGCCTTTGGCTCCGGTCACAGTCCCAGAGTCCTGGGATCGAGCCCCACATCAGGCTCTCTGCTCAGTGGGGTGTCTGCTTCTCCCTCTGCCTGCCTCTCCCCCTACTCACGCTCTCTCTCTCACTCACTCTCTCTCTAAAATAAGTAAAATCTTTTTAAATAAATAAATAAAGTTGTTTAAATAATAACAAGGTACCCCTTTTAGCCAACAGATGGTAAAGGTTAAAAGAAACCTTGACAATGGTATAAGGATATAAGGAAACAGGACTACCATCATTAGTGTAGGTATTTAGCAATATCTATCAAATTTTTAAGTGCACACACCGTTCGTGCCACACACACCGTTCGTGCCAACGGTTTTTGTTTTGTTTTGTTTTTAAAGATTTTATTTATTTATTTGACAGAGATCACAAGTAGGCAGAGAGGC